CAGTGACACCGAAGAAGGATTTCAATCAGAAACTCGGCTGCACATTGTATCCGAGTCCATGTGGTCAGATCTGAGCACCGCCCTATTGGTTTTCTGTGCTTGAATCCCGAGTCTGGAGTGTTGGGGTGTGAGGGATGCTCTGGTCCGGGAACCCCCTGGTGGTTGGAGCGCAGACCCTGGGGCTCGGGCTCACCATTTCCTCTCTCGTCATTAGTGCTGCTCCACACGGCCACTGCCAATGGCTTCCAGATGGTCACCAGTGGAGTCCAGAGCAAGGCCGTGAGCGACTGGCTCATCACCAGCGTGGAGGTGAGTGTCCGCCCCGCTGACTGCTTTGGACCCGCTTCTGTCCCCTGACCTGCCCAGTCCCCGCAGCTCAGCCCCACGCCCAGCCAGGCCGCTGCGCCTCCCCGACAGCAGGCCGGCTGCCTCACCACCGGTGCCCACTAGAGGGAGCTCCTGGCAGGGAGATGGGGTGGAACCATCCGCCTGCTTTGCAAAGCGCTCAGTGCGGCCGGGCCGGGAAGCCACTGCAGAGTGGTTGGGCCCCTGCCTGCTGCCCTGGCCGCCTCCTGCCTCCTGTCGCTGGCCAGGCCACACACCTTGCTGCCAGCTCATCCCACCCCAGGGCCTTTGCACGGCCGTCCTCTCCTCACAGAAAGCTCTCCCTCCAGGCCCTGGAGTGGCTGCCCCTTCTTGTCATGTAATGCTTAGATGCGTTGTCCCCACAGACCCTTCCGTGGCCACCCCATCGCCCCGTTGTCGGGAGCTCAGCTGAGCTGGGAGAGAGCACTGAGCTGCCAAGTGTCAAAGTGGCTGCTCGAAGCTACACGGCGGGAGTGAAAGGGTTAAGCCAAATCCTTTACTCCCGTGGCGTGAGCACCTTAAAGACAGAGAAGGTGGCTCAGGTGCCTCAGGGTCTCCCTGCTAGGGAGGGCACATGCGCAAAAAGCACCTGCGGTTTTACGGACATGGGGTGGCGGAGGGCTCAGGGCAGGAAAATCCTGGGTACTGAGTCAGGGTGGGGACAGAGTGCTATGGTCCCCTCCTCCCCAGCCCCACAAGGAGGCCTTGGCCCCAGGCCCCAGATGAGAGACTGAGGAATCAAATACGCCAGTGCATCCAGTCAGGACCAAGCTCTCTACCACAGCCCACTCCAGAGGCCACGGCGCATGTCACTAGACACCAGCTGTGGCCTGCAGGGGTAGCTTCCCCCAAGTGCCAGCCAGGCAGAGCCTTGGTAGTTGCCTCTGGTCAGGCCTGAAGAATCACANCGGGTGAGCACCTGCCCCTTCCCCACACAGGCTGGGGACCCCCCAGCACAGGTCCAGAAGCTGCTGTTGGATTTGATGTCAGCTGTGTGACCTTGGACGGGTCGCTTGACCTCTCTGAGCCCTTCAGAAAGTGGGATGGTTGTTCCCTATCCTCACTGGTCCTCTTCAGGGGGCAATTCTGTCCCCAGAGGGGCATTTCGGGAGGGGGTGCTCAGCACCTGTAGTACCCAGGACACCCACCACATAGAAGGAGCTGGCCCAAATGTCAATGGTGCCAGGCAGGAGAGAGCCTGCTCTGAATGAACAGGCTGACAGGATCGCACAGGAGACCCTGGGTGGGGACGCTCTTGCAGATGACAGGCTTGGGGTGGGGGAAGCTCACATTCTCCTGAGGCCGGCTTAGTGCTGGGTGGTTCACTAGTGCCTGCGTGCCCTCCAAGTACAGCCGGGGGGCGCCCTGCCCTCCCGTGCCCTGGCCTAACTGTGTGTCTTGTCTGCAGCAATTCATGGAGATCGAGCCTGAGATGCTGGCCATGGAGACAATCGTGCCCGTGTACTTTGCCATGGAAGATGAGGCCCTGCTGTCCATCTATGAGCAGACCCAGGCCGCTTCTGCCTCCCAGGGCTCTGCCTCAGCCGCAGAAGGTGGGCTGCACGGACAGGGTGGTGGGTGTCAGGGAACTTTCCTGTCCCATGACCCATGGTCATCCTGTTCCGTGTCTCACTGTGTCACTCAGAGCAAGTATGTGGCATCCCATCACCCGTATTTCACGGTGGAGATTTCTGGGCCCTGCCTTGGACCTGCTGTGTCACCGTGTCAGGCTGGGGGCTGGGACCTGGGACTCTGCATTTTCACAGCCCTTGCTTCTCCACCCTGCCGCTAATTCCTGTGCACACAGAAGTTCAGAACCGCTAATTTAGAGGAGGCATTTCCCAGATTCTCATGTGGTTTACGAAAATCAAAGGCATCTGTCCATTTTTCTCTCTTGTCCGTTCCACCTGCCAAGTAAATTCTGTGTCCTCAGCTTGCTTGAGCCCTCAGGGAGGATCAGTAACATTCTGAGGGAAAAGGACCAAACGTTTCCTCCCCCAATGCATAAAGAACAGACATGCAGACTCAAACTGGGGTGAACTCTGGCATTTTGGGGGAGTCCTTGGCCCAAATGAAAAGCGCAGGG